AATGAAACCTATATGGATTATCTACGTATCAAACTGTAGCTTAAAATAATTTGATAATATGCCTAGTTTACTCTGAGCAAATCCYACTTAGTTCCTAGTTTGATGTGATGGGTCACATATGTTTTTACCATGCAGGTGAGATGCAATTCATACAGACCAGAAGCAGCCAGAGAGCAGATTCAGAATGGAGCTCACAGTCCATCAAAATACAGGTGATCATACACAAAATGCACACACAACCACACACAAGACATCCCTCCAATCTGACTCACTGTTGTCACCATGCAGAGTCATTGGAGCAATGAGTAACTACAARGAGTTCCGGAAAGCGTTCAAATGTCCCGAGTCATCAGTGATGAACCGAGGAGCGCAGTCCTGCCGGGTGTGGTGATCTCTGACCACAGTGTGACACTGAAGCTCTGCCTCAGGCCTGGACTGTCTGAGGGGAAAGACCGATYAGGTTTGACAACATTAAGACAGTTTCCTTAACGAAGGAACAATAAAGACGAGTTGTTTCCTCTGAACCTTTTATCGAAACAGATATTTATTAAGTTAAAAGAACTCAGAGCCTTTAAAGTGTATCTATTACTGTAAATATACAAATACTGTAACTTTTGAATTCATTAAGCAGCTACATTTCTGATATAACTAGAATAAAATGATATTTTAGGTCATTGCATATGTTTATAAACACTGTCAACCAAAAATCATTTTGAATATGTTTTCTTTTTAAATATATGTTTCTTTCTTTAGATAATTTTGAAAATCAACACTGAAACAATAACCCACTGGATGTTTTTAAAGCCTTAATACAACTCTGAACTATACAGGACCAGGTACACGTGCTATTTTTGCAGACTTTAGAACCAACATTTTGTTTGTTAGGTCTGACTTTTGTTCTCGTGCTTTATGTTTTAATCTTATTCCTGTTTGTTACTAAACACTTTGGTGCAGGGAATGTACTTAAAAATAAAAGTTATCAAATAGCAGTTTTTTTTAATTGACTTTTGGCTGGTTAAGTTGTTTCAGTGTAAATTAAGGTAAAATCCTGAAAGTGAACTAGTTTTTTTTATTAGTTTGATGGTGCATCGGCTATTTTTTTAGTTAGTAGAGTAGATATTTTTGATCACGAAAATTATTTAAATATTATGGTGCAACTTGACAATCAACCAAAACATCAGCTCAAATTCAAAACTACACACACAAAAAATATATATATATATATACATATATATGAATATCACTGTGCCCAGATTGTAATGACCACGAAAAAAGAGCCACATAAATGGTTTAAAACACAACCTTGACTATTTTTTGATGATTGCACATCAATAAAAACATATTGATTTATTTAATTGAGAATACATTTTCATTGGAAATTTAACACAGCTGGGTTCTCCATTAATATTTTATTCTAACAATAGTTTAAAAAATACAAAATAAAAAGTGGAGATCTGTCAAAAGTTCRGCAAATCAGATGAGATGCCCTAAAACCTTCTGTTTTATTTTATTTCAGTTCATTTTAGAATCAATATAAAAAAGTTGTATTTATTTAAATTGTTTGAAAAATCTAACAGACCTGAAAAAAAACATATGCAGCTCTGTAGTGCATATGATGCAATGTTTTCTTATCAACATGTAAATATATCAACAATAGTGTTACTATAAATATGATCTGCTGTTTTCTTAAAAWATAACATGTTTTGTAACTTATTGTGAAGAATTGTGAGTTATGATGACTTGTGTGATGAGATCACAATTAATTCTCTGTTTACTTCATTGTGACAGGTTATAATAAAACTCTGAGACATTGTGATGCATTTTTTCAGTTTTCCATGATTGATAGGTTGTGTGTGCGTGCGTGCGTGCGTGCGTGCGTGCGTGCGTGTGTGGGTTAGGTAAGTGTGCTAATTGATTTTGCTGACAGTGTAAGATAAGATAAGGTTGATAAACAACAAAAGCGTGTCCTTTAACAGACCCCCCCCACCCCCCTGGACTTACTATTATACCCAAATGGCACACATCACGTCTCTTTCATCTCAGCAGTTTCCATGGCAACTCATTTTGTGTTACATGAGACCATTTAACTTGATGCCGTGTGTGCATTCATGTATGTGCGTGACTCCCAGTTCGTCTTACAGTGACCAGTGGGGGTGGTGGGGTGGGGTTCCATTAATGATTTGTATCTGTGGCAACACCAGCGGCGGTCTCATTCGTTCACACCAATTAGAAAACCGTTTTGATTTGTCCTTCGGTTATTGTGCGAGCGCGTCTCAGTGGGGTGTTAGTTGATTAAGAAACCAGAAGGAAGGAAGTGAGATGGATGATAATGAGCGAGGAGCTGTGTTTACTATCTGAGCAGCGTCAGGCCTYCTTTAGAGACTCGGATTCATCAACAGTGGCAGTTTCGATTGCCCACAATTATGGATGTAGAAACTGTTGCTCTGTTTTACTTAAAGCAGATGTTCAGCTCTTTTACAGCAGGGTTATGTAGAAAGATTATGAGCAACTGACATCTTAACGCTTGAGCAAAATCACTTTGAAGAAATTMACTGAATTCACAAGCTAACGATTGGTTCAAACACGGCGGATTGCTTTAAAACAACTTCGATCTTGAAAAAATAAATAGAAAAGAAACATTATTAYTTAGCAGGTTAAATAAGTTTAGTAACACCTAACATTGAATTGAAACTGGAAGAGTGAATCATGAAAGACTGATAATAATGAGCATTATTAAAAAAAATAAGTCCTCTTTCCCATTGCTGCTTAGTGACCAGTTTGTTCTAGCTCAATCAAAGCGTGCTGAAGTGGCTGCATGCACCATCAAGTAACTGAACCAGCAATTAGTCTTGGACAAATCTGGCCTCCGTATCCCAGCTGGATTTCCATTAAATCTCCACAGGACTGTTTTTTTTAATACCCACTCTTGCTCACTTCTGGAGTGTCTTACTTTAAACATGATAAAAAGAAAATTACAAAGTTCTGCTTTAATCTTCTTTACTACTTCAGTTATTGTTTCTCACAGTCAATAAAGCTGGTAATAGTGTGGGTTAGTTGGTCCAGCCCYTGGATCCTGGCAACTATTTAGGTTTATTGCCATGTTGCCATTCATTGTTGATGCATCACATTTGCCATCTGTGAAAATGAGAAGCACGTTTTAGAGGTCCACCAACTGCTAAGTTGTTTAGTTAATTTGGCAATACAAAAAAAATAACAATATGCAACAGGCATAAGGCAATWAGGCAATTAAATTGCAAGCACAAGGAGTGTCTGTCGTGCTATGGGTGTTTTTGTTTGGTGTGTAGCATCATCTTTCATGTCTGGAAAAAAAACAGAGTAAGAATTATGTACCCACATATATGTTAAGGAGTACAAAGGCTTATTACAGGGTTAGTACCATGAAAACTASATATTTCCAGAAGGGGGWCTCTGCAGTCAGTAAGTGGAAGTTTCTTGTTGTGTGGGAGGAGTTTATGAAGAACATCAWTGGTCTGTTTGACTTTTATGGGAGGAGTTTGTTAAAGTCGTGCTTGGTCGGATTTACTTGTTTGGGTGGACTTTGAAGATGCCGGGCCAGCTGYATGGATAGGTAGCTCGGTCGAATCTGCCAGCAAAAATCTATATGTACATACTTACAAGACAAGTCAATCCAACCAATCACAGTTTTGCCAAATTCCATCTACTCAAGAACCTCTGCCTATATTTTAAACTGGGCCCACACACCAGTATCTCAATGTACTGCAGAGACACCGACTTGGTAGGGGTGCAACAATACATGTACCCGTATCAAACCGTACCAAACCGTACCGAACCGTATCGAACAGTGCTGTATTAAACAATACAGATTTAAAAAATTTACTTTATCAACATGACTTCTGAAGATGCTCTGTGTTAAAGGATCAGTGGATCTGTGTTCGACTACTCCACCTAGGCTGCATTTTTGAGTGCAGGTCTACTGAGAAACTTGCTGTTTCAGCAACATTTAATTTAAAAACTGTACTTTTGAGGTTAAACAAATGTTCATCATTAATTTAAATAAATTACAAGTTGAAAGGGGCATGGAAATTTCTCTTTTTTGTATCGAAAAAATATCGAACCGTGAGACTAAAGTATCGAACCGAACCGAACCATGAATTTTCTGTATCGTTGCACCCCTACTACTTGGGAATTTCTACAGTTGTAATTTGTACATTTTTAGAATCAATCTTAACAATATCCTTTAAAGAGTACAGAAAATATTTTGTTACCCATTACTTATCAAAATATGTGGTTCCCCAACATACGACACATACCTAGTTAAAAGTGGTGACATCCAAGCATAATGCTATTACTGTTATGTATTTTACTCTTTGTTTAGCAATGTTTCTCATACTTAGATGTGAACTCCCGATCTTCTGTTTAAAGGTAAGTAACGGTACAACTGAGTTTTAAAGCACAATATCAAAGGACAATGGTGATAGGATTGGAAGAGGATTAGGGTGAAATTAAACAGGTGCAGAGGAAAAAAAGAGAAAAACAGCCCTAGTGATGTAATCTGGAGCTTCCTAAAAAACTCACTTGTAAATAAGGAAAGATAAGTCACATACTTTTATGTTAATACTTTTACAAATTCAATGCTCAGGATTTGTAATACTGTTCCAACAATTAACATGTTTTTCCTAAATCAACTGGAGTGCCACTGCTGTTGGATTTTCACTGCACAAATGCACAATCTTAACAAAGCTATACTCTAAGTTGTTTCCAGCTTTTCTGAAACCAAAAAATAAAACATAAAAATAAAAACTACCAATAAACTCAAGAGTTTGCAAAACCTTTATACTTAAATGCCACCTGGATATCCTCAGTTACTCCAGCTTTCAGCTCCTCACTATCACCTCTATTCCTGCATCTGCACACTGTTATTTAAATCCCCTCTCCACCCATTAAATTATGTACTTCATTTTCTTCTGTTCRTCAGTTTTTGTCAGATCTGCTCGTTAATATCCTGGTGCCTTTGCCTTGTCTTGTTTTGATGACTTGAATCCCTGCCAGTTTTGTTATTAAAGTCCAAGTTTTAATCCTCAGCCATCTGCCTCCTATTTGGCTGCAGTAGGTCTAACCAAGGGCCCAATACAGCCTTCCAACAGAGTAAATAAAACATGATTTTAAAAACAAACACACATACACCTGAACAGTTTGTTTTAATGGGTAAGTGATTTAAAACGACTTGCATGCAAGAATTTGACCAAATAACATGTCCATCTTTCCTAGTACAATTGCATGGTTATATTAAGCAAATGGGAAATGTACACAGTTTAAATGAAAGGATTTGCAGACATCGCTGCTGTTAACTACTTTTTAGTCCAGTCCCTGAACCTAAACACAACCTCAGTCTTCTGTTACCCACCAAGTCATTAATGCTGTGCTTCTGCCAGGTTTTATGTCTCTATGTTACTGGACTGGGATAAATCTATTTTACAGGGTGTTGTAAGAAAAAAAGAAAAGAATAACAGATTTGTTATTTTAGTCGTTTTTTTCCCTCAGTACTAGCTTAAGTACAAAGACTGACACTCCCATAAGTCAGAGAAAAATAAACCCATCCATCCATCTATCCACCCCAGTCAATAACTTGCAAGGGAAATCCATTTCTGATTAACTAAATTTCTGTATATTTTTATCAGAGGCTCTAAGTGGGGTAAACCTGAAGTAATTGGACCTTTAGAATTTCACTACTCCCACAATATGGATCTTAGCCCTTTTCAAATTAAAACTACAAACAACAATAATAAAAACACCAGGGGCTCATCTTTACCAGCATCATTTAATTGGATAATCAAACAAACACTATTATCCAAATTATTTTCTTCTTGTTGAAGTCTCCTGAAGAAAAAAAACCTCTCTCTCATTTGATGATTTTAGGGAAGTAATCTAGGCCTTTATTTTGTTCAAACATGAACAATGCATGTTTCTTGCTAATACCTGCTTTCTAAACTGCAACATGATCAAAAGGCAAACATGTTTATTGGAGGTAATGTCAGAAGTGCAAGTACCCGCCCAGTCAATACATACAGCTCATACAGTGATGATATTTCACTCTGTTTTTTTACAGCCTCTACTTGTATTGTTTCTTTACGAGAAGGATAAAAAAAATACAGAGCTGAGGATCTTTCTTGCTGAGATGGTCTTCAGATTCAATTTAGCTTTCAGAGACTTGAAAATAGCTCTCCTCTGATATCACTTTCTGACCTTTTTGCTATTCAAGTTTTCCCTAAAGCACTGCTCAAGTCACCAGGCTATTCTTCGTATTTTTTACCAGGCTTGTGACACCAAATGGCCTCATTTTTTTCTACATTTTTTTATGGCTCCCTCTCCTGTGAATGTGAATGAGAAGCAGTGAGCAGCCTTTTTTATCTACTTCCGTCTACATCTGTCTTTTCTGCTTCTGGCCTGTTGCTGTAATCAAATCTTAGAGCCTTTGAGAGGCCTTGAAAAAGACTCGGTGGGATTCCTCCTGATGACTTCTCTCCTCCATTATTTGCACTTACTGCTCATGYGATAATACCAAATGACATTTAGAAAAAAAAAGTGAATAAATGTTGCTGACCAACAAGAGTACGCTGTGACCAGACAGACAGAAATAGCAAAGAAGCAAATTACTGAACAAAATGGAGCAGACAGAGGAAATGGCTGATATTTAAACCCCTTGAACAAAAAAGATGGAAGCAGAAAAGCCTGACCTTTTCCAGCAAATGCTCAAAGAAAAACTGGATTGTCTGAATAGTGTTTAGATTCATTTGTTGAAAAGTCCAAAAATAAGATTATTTTTCTTATTTGAAA